AGGACGCCGGGCGCCGTCGCCCTCCTCGGGGTTGAACCTGTAAAAAAAAAAAAAAACGCTTAACGCACGCGACAGATGGAGACGCGAAAGACGTCCAATCACGTTTCTGGAAATTGCCTTGCCCCCAGAGTAACGACTCACGAGGAGTTACTATTTCTAGCGCCCGACTCTGTGACAACAACCTGGAGGCCAAAGTCAACGGTCAAAGGTCAAATGTCAAAAGGTCGAGTTTACTAAAAAAAAAAAAAGAAAAAAAAAACGCTGGACGGTTCCAACCAACGGTACCCGTGTCAGCTTTCCTGGAACTCGTCTGCACTGACCTGGCATACTTGGGTCCTGTCGTCTCGTACCATTGGCTGGATGCTGTGATGTCATTGTCCTTGATGCGTCCATCCTCCATGCCCAACGCAAAGCGACAGTGAGCTGCGACAGAAGACAAAATAAATAAATAAATAAATAAATAAATAAAAAAAATTCTGTTCAAATATTTGTGTGTGTGTGTGTGAGACGTGTGTGTGTGAAGGTGTGTGTGTTCTTACTGGGGTCAACCTGTCCAAAGGCTGCTGTGGCTTGGAGGATCAGCAGCAGGAAGAGGTGCATGATGGTCCACCTGTCACACCAACACACATGCTACATCTCTGTTAGAGAGAGAGAGGGAGAGAGAGACAGAGAGGGAGGGAGAGAGAGACAGAGAGAGAGAGGGAGAGAGAGAGAGGGAAGGAGAGAGAGGCAGGGAGAGAGAGAGAGAGAGACCCCCAGAGAAGGCAGGATGTAGTCTATACTGGTGTAAATGTCTCTATCTGTTTTTCCTGTCTGTGCATATGCATCAGTGTACGTTAACTGTGTGTTAACACAGTCTGCACGTACAAAACTCTTTCAAATACTTGTGGTCAGTAAAGGTACTGCAGTGTGTTTTTTTTCTGGTTGATTCTTTTATTATTATTTATTAATTTATAAACCTAAACAAATCCACAATTTTACAACAAAATATGATGTGAAAAAAATATATTAAATATTTAAAAAAAAAATATGTATGGGGATGAGAGGGGGGGTCTGTTTTGTCTTTGGGCTCCGAAAAACGTCGATGACCTTTGGACGACAAAACCAAAGTTTTGTTCAGTTACGCAAACACAGGAACACAAGATGTGTATAAGTGTGTGTGTGTGTGTGTGTTACAACACTAAGGGCTGGACACAAGCAGCGGCTCCACTCACTGAGGTTATGCAACAGTGACACACACATAAAAACACACACACACGCGTTACCCACAAACCCCGGTTTGAAATCGGTTCTGATCGGTTCTGAGCGCCGAGGAAACGTCTTCGTTCAGAGAGGTGTAGACGGAGCGGTCGAGAGAAAGAGGAAGAGAGAGAAAGAGAGAGGGAGGGGGGAGAGAGGGAGGGAGATACAGGGAGGGAGGGAGGAGGAGGGGGGCTAAAAGGACCAAACAGTTCTGGTTCTCGAAGGCATTGTTCTTTCCTCACTGGCACCGATCTATTGCCGCTCCAGGAAGTGAGGTAAAAAAAAAATAGACATCAAGACGGGGGGAGGAGGATTATGTAATCTGTTGCTCATCTCTGAAGTAAATCATACGATGAGAGAGAGAGGCAGAGAGACATAGAGAGAGAGAGAAGTTTAATAAAACTCGGATTTTTGCCCCGGCATAAGTCGAGGGTTCGAGTCCCGAACTCTCCGACTCGACTCGCGTTTTCACTGGTTGTCTCATCAAAAACCCATTGATGCAACTCCTTTTCACATGATCAACCTCCCTCCTCCCCCTCCTCTTCTTCCCTCCCTCCCTCCCCGTCCTCCCTTCGCTCCCTACCCTCGCTTATCTCACTCCTCGTCCCTCCCTCCCTCTCTCCCTCTCTCTCTCCTCCTTCTTTCTCCTCCAGAACAAAACCGGAGCCAAAAGCCTCAACATTCCAAACATTCAACGCAACCCAGAGCTGCCTCTCCCTCTCCCTCTCCCTCACCCTCACCCCTCTTCTCTCTCTTCTCTCAAACCCAACCAAACACACAAGAATCCACATGCCTTTCCCCACAAGTCTTCCTCCCTCCCTCCCTCCTTCTCTGTCTTACTGTAACACACAGGAATGTGCATCTCTCACTCTCCCTCCCTCCCTTCCTTCCCTCTCCCTCCCTCAAGTTCAGGGAGGAGTTGGATGTCAGGGAGAACCAAGTTCACTTCGAACAAAACACATTGTTCAAAAGCACAAACGTCAAACGTTCGAATCCACTCCGATCCCGCAGCGACGTCGACTGGTGCGACTTCACCTCCTCCTGGTTCAGAACCTTTTCACTGTTCCCTCGGTTTAAACCGAAAGGTCAAAGGCCAAAGTCTGAGAAAATTAAAAAAAAAAAAAATTCAAATGTCCCAGCATCAACAGATTCACGCTAGCTTTAGCAGAAATGCTAACGTTAGCGTCGCTACGGCAGCGCAGCGCCGGACAAGAAAAGTAAAGTCGTTTAATTACGACGTTGTTTCCAAACTCTGGGCCGCGACCCTCATGTGGGTCGCAAGTTTTTTTTGGGGGGGGTCGTTAGCATCATGTTTCCCAGGAGTTTACGAACAACGTCTGTTGACTTGGGTCACGAAGGTTTGCGACTTTGTGTCTTTGATCGCGGCTGAGTCAGATCGGTTCTCGGACAGATTCCGAGACAGGACGGATTCCCGCAGGTGTCTGAGGTCAACGACCCAAACCAGTTCAGACTGGTCTCTGGGTCGTCTTCACCTCTCGCCGGTTTTATCGTTGTGTCCAACCCGGTGAAAACCGATCTGTTCCGTCCGCACCGTCGTGACAACGAAATCGGACGTCATAAAAACAGACAAAAGATTTGAGTCAAACTCCGAAACATTCACGCAAAGTATTTTCTTTTCGAACTCGGGAGGATTCATTTGTTTGTGCGACGTCAAACAAACGGACGAGAACGAGGGACGAGTTTACAGCGAAATGTTTTTGCAAATGTTGGATTTCGTGACTCGATGAATTCAACAACAGGAAATAAGGACAGGGTGAGTGGGTGTGGGGGGCGGGGGGGGGGGGCTGGGCNNNGGGGGGGGGGGGGGGGGGCGCTAGGCCAAACATAAATGAGCTACATGTGTGCGAAGACAACGGCGACGCAATCGCTAGTGCGTCCGAACACGGCTCACGTTTGATGTATTTCCTGTTAGCGAGGCCGTGCGCATGAACCAGAGCAGAGAAGTTGACTTCGACTCCAGCTGCAGCCTGATTACGCAACACTGTAAACAATGAACTTCGACACACACACACACACGCACGCACACACTCACGCACACACACACACACACTTCAATGACAAGTTACAAACTCCAGCTGCTAATCAACAGGAAACACACGTTTTTGGGTTTTTTTTGTTTTTGTTTTTTTGACTAATCGAACCCACCTGTGCAGAGAGCAGAAGCTTGGCCGCTCGGCGCTAACACGTAGCGCAGCGCTCCGTATCACGTTTCCTACCTCCATCTGGACGTCGTTGGCACCGCCGACCGCCGAGCTACATTTAACTCCGGTTAATGTCGTCAGCTGACGAACTGTCACTGTGGTGAGTGAAGCCAACCGGGGACATCGGAGACACCAGAGACGCCAACTTTGTAATTAGGCCCCTCCCCCGTTCCCCCGCCACCCTTCCATCTTCAAACATTTATCCTGTTAGGGATCGCAGGCACGCTCATTTTCTACGGGGGTGGGGGGGCGCATCAGCAACACAGTTCCCCTTAAAGGGCCGGTTGTAAATTATTGACTGTATAAATCAGGGCTCCTCAACCCCTGGTCCGCGGACCCCACCGCAGTGGGACATAATTGAAAAAATGTACCTAGCGTATTTTCCGGAATATATTTTTTTTCCCACGCTTTGAACCATGCGGTTTATACAAAGATGCGGCTTTTCTATGGATTTTTCTTCTTCAGCCACCAGGGGGCGTTCTAGCAGGAAGTGCAAAAACGAGACAGACAGGGGGAGTCGGTGCAAAGACGTACGCGCTAGTTTTTATTTTCACACCCTCCACCCCTTCATCATTGAAAGCACACCAAGAAGTTTGTAAGATGCCGCGACTTATATATGTAAATATACAGGGTTTTTTTTAGGGGTGTGGCTTATATTCAGGTGCGCTTTTTTTTACTTCGTCATATCCATTTACGCGGGCCACACATAGCGGCTTTGCGGGCTGTATTTGGGCCCCGGGCTTTGAGTTCATTTTTTTGGTGACGACCCCTCAGATCAGTAGGATCGGCTTCAGTAAAGTCGACACCTGGATCCGTCTCCGTCTTCACTCGACACCCACGACATTCCTGTACCGCCAGTGAACAGACGCTAACCACCGCAACCACGAACGCCCGACTCGTGACTCAGCAGCTAACCGTTGTCCAACGGAGCATCTTCTTTGTTCTTCGTGTATCAACAGATCCTTTGATTTACCCTCGGACCAGGTGACGGCGGGGGGGGGGAACCAGGCCCAAAAGTGGAGCGGGTGGAATGACAGGAATGCGAGGAGCGCTTGATTTAACACGCAGAGCCTTGAACCTCGCGGACGACCTCGCGGACAAGGAGGTCGTGAAACCCGAACTGGCGGATCCACCTGGGATGGTCGGGATTCAAACTGTAGAACCTACGGGAGCGTCGGAGTCGTCACTCCAGCGGGGGGCGACGTTTACAACGCAGTCTAAGTTGCGCGCTAATGAGGATCAACCGTCTAGAAAAGTTTAGTCTCAAGTTAAAGAGTTAAATAACGTGTCAGTGACTCAAAATGACAAAACCGCTGCATTAAACACCTCAGTCGGCCGGATAACACGATATGGAGGTCCATAATTTGGCCCGCAGGTCTTGAGTTTGACACAAACGACCAGAGCATCTCAGTCTAACACTAGAACTTCACTCCATCATTTTTAAAAAAAAACAAAAACAAACATGTCCTCCGTCTTCAGTCTGTACCTGGACAGGCGATCCTGAAGCAGTGATCCTGTACCAGCGATCCTGAACCATTGATCCTGTACCAGTGATCCTGTACCAGTGATCCTGAACCAGTGATCCTGAACCAGTGATCCTGAACCAGTGATCCTGTACCAGTGATCCTGAACCAGTGATCCTGTACCAGTGATCCTGAACCAGTGATCCTGTACCAGTGATCCTGAACCAGTGATCCTGTACCAGTGATCCTGAACCAGTGATCCTGTACCAGTGATCCTGAACCAGTGATCCTGTACCAGTGATCCTGAACCAGTGATCCTGTACCAGTGATCCTGAACCAGTGATCCTGTACCAGTGATCCTGAACCAGTGATCCTGTACCAGTGATCCTGAACCAGTGATCCTGTACCAGTGATCCTGAACCAGTGATCCTGTACCAGTGATCCTGAACCAGTGATCCTGTACCAGTGATCCTGAACCAGTGATCCTGTACCAGTGATCCTGAACCAGTGATCCTGTACCAGTGATCCTGAACCAGTGATCCTGTACCAGTGATCCTGAACCAGTGATCCTGTACCAGTGATCCTGAACCCACAAACCAGTGATCTGATTTAGCCATTGTAGAGAAAAATAGAATTCTGACTAGTGTTTCGGTGACTGTCAGCCGATCGTCAGCCATCACCGCTGATGGTACGAGACCACCGCGACCCGCCTTGGTATCCACGAGCCCTATTTTTTTTTCTACCTAGAATCTTCAGTTTTTCCTTCAGTGTGGTTACTAACTGGTTTAATGAGCTTCTGGTCGCTAAAAAAAAAAAACTCCATACAAACCCACTCACCCCGACACACACACACAACCACAGCAGCTATCTGCCCACACAGTAACGCTAACAGCACGGCTGCGTTCATCAGGAGATCGTCCAACCTCAGATCGGAGACGACGAGGTCGATAAAGCTGACACTTCCTGTTTATCTCTACACGTCGACCTCCGGTCACCGGAAAAAGTGAAAATATTGACGACCGCACCGACAAACTGTCAGAGGAACCGGAGAGCTAGCAGCTCGTGTTACAGCTCCCGAAGACGTCTGGATGTCATCTGGTTGACATCCACTCCTACTGGCGTCCCCAGAGGCAACGTTAAAATCCGGGCTGGATTTGATTTCTGTGACTTTTAATAATGGACACGAAGACGTGAAAAATTTAAGAAATTTGTCAAATGAGTGCATCAACAGTCAATCACAGCCAACCTGGGATTTCATGGTGTCGAACCCACAACCCCCTGGTGGCCAAGTGAGGACTAACGCTGCACTACTCCGGTCCTGTATCCTCCAACCAAAAGAACACAGGAGTCCCAGATCGTGGTGCAATGTTTCCAACAAACCGCAAGGCATTATGGGAAATTCTCTATCCTTATTACAACATGCCACTATGTTTATCTCTAAGGTTATTCTGAAGAATATTCCAGATTTTATTTTTTATTTTTTTGGACTGAAGTGACAATCAACTCCCACTTGTCAGCATTCACACTAACATTCACACTAACATTCACACTTGTGCAAATTAGCAAACAGGTGATCGACAGCTAACAGGTGATCGACAGCTAACAGGTGATCGACAGCTAACAGGTGATC